GTCCCCCGGAATCTGGGTGTCAGTGAGGAGGCCTAGGGAATCTATTGAGCCTTGGGCAGCAGATCAGTAACCATCCCAAGTATACACATGGACTTTGGACTCCCATAGAACAATGTGAGGTGCACTCTCACCCTGAACTCTTGGGGAAGGGTCTAGGCCCTGCCCTATATGAAATGACAGACTATGGACACCCCCATGGAGGGCCTCACCCTCCCTGGGGGAATGAGGGGATAACGGGGGGGGGTTGGGGGGAGGACACGGGAGGAGGGAAGGGAAAGAGAGAGGGACCTGGAACTGACTTGTGAAGCAACCTCGTTTCTTATCTAAATTTAAACTGGAAAATAAAATAAAAACAAAATAAAAAAACACAAAACAAAGCAACAAAAGCGAAGCAAAACTGAAAAACAGAAGTTAATGTTTGCAGCACATTCTACTGGGGCCAGGAGCCACTTAATACCAAGCAGAGGTCTGTGATCGTGCTCTCCTTCCTATCTCCCCAAATTTCTCACTCTCCGACCTCCCAGTCCTTCTCCTTTCCCCCCAAGTAAGGGAGTGTGGGGACACCAGACCTTGAGCAGAAACCCACTTCCCCTTCGGCCTGGGAGCAGGCATCTATGTAATGTTTACTGAAAACAATTCAGTGCTTTAAAGCTTGATAGGGCTCAGATAGGGCTGGCTCACTGAAATACCATGCCTTCCACACCTCCTATGGCTAGATGCCTCTTCCTGCCCCCTGTGGTGTCTTCCCGATTCTGGGGCCGGAGATTAAACCACCAGCCAGGAGGGTGAGAAGTGGAAAGAATGGTATGTAAATGGATGGCAAAAGTCCTTAAAAAGGGAAGCTCCTTTTTCTTAGAGAGACTTCTCCAGAGATTTCGCCAGAGACTTCTCCTGAGATTTCTTCTGAGAGCTCTCTCCTAAGCTGACTTGGGAAGATAAAGTTTTCTTAAAGCAACCGACCGGTCTCTGTGTCATCTATCCCGACCACCTTGCTACATTCTCGGATGCAGGCCGCACAGCAGGTGCGACAAGGGAGCATAGTGTGGGCCTTGCTTTGCACACCCCAAACCCTGCAAAGCATCAGGCAGTCTTATCTGACACCCCGAGACCCGTGGAAGGCCATTTTCTTCCATTCTCTCCTCTCTCTCTCTCTCTCTCTCTCTCTCTCTCTCTCTCTCTCTCTCTCTCTCTCTCTCTTTTTACGAGACAGGGCTTCTCTGTATTGTTTTGGAGGCTGTCGGTCCAGCCCTGCCTCGAACTCACAGAGATCCACCTGCCTCTGCCTCCTGAGTGCTGGGATTAAAGGCGTGTGCCACCACTGCCCAACCCATTCTCTCCTCTTTAAGCTCCGCCAGACAAAAGGGCCTGCACAGATTCATCATCCTTCTGTCTAATACGACATCATCTGTCTTCGAAGGCAGGAAAACCCACAGCTACTTTTGAGTTTAATGTTTCTCCTGTAGCATCATATTTGGCTGAACACAGTAAAAGCAATTTATTAAGCATTTTTATTAAGAACCAGAGGTTAAGACATTTTTTGAAGAAGTGCAATAGTACAAGGCATTTTAAATTCTGGAGGCAGAGATGGGGTTACACCCCACCAGCTCTGAGTATGCCTGGCAGCTCTAATCACATTGACAAGTGTGTTCAATTTGTGAGCTCACATTTATCATCTGTGAGGCATGGAGAGAGTGCTGGATGGGCAGGAAGTGGCAAACCATGCCTTTTTGTGTCTGGTCCCTGAGCTAAGAGTGTTTTATGTATTCTTAAAGGACTTGGGTGTGGCCCACCAAATCTAACACAGTCACGATCAGGTTCCTTATAGAAGTTTGCACACCCCTGAATTACAGTCTGAGGGGCTTCCATCTCTAAATCACAGTGTCTAGATATCTGGTCCCTGTTGCCTAGTAACTTCACATGTGCTGTTTATGTTGAGAACCTTTGTGGGGTTCTGATAATGACAGAGGTCTTGTATCTCAAGGGAACAGGAAGGGGGACATGGCTAATTGGGCTGGTGCTGGGAGCTGTGAACTCATAGTAAAATCCTGACATGAGCTGTGACACATCTCCTCAGCAGCCACCCCATCAGATCCTGGAAATGGTGGGCAAAGGATTCCCATAGCATCACGTCTGCCTAGCTAGAACTGACTACACCAGCTTCAGGGAAACGATGGAGGAAACGTGAAGACCTATGACAGTGTGTGTTTGGGGTGGGGTTGGGCATGGGTGGGGCTGGAGCTGTCACTACAGTCAGCTGTCAGGGTGGGCACAGGCCCGGGCTTAGAGGTGTGGAAGAGAGTGGGATAGGGAAGCTGAGTCACACGTAGTCCTCTGTAAGAGCCCTGAGGCTTGAGTGCTGCTCAGGTGTGTATAGGATCTGTCCACTTGGTCCAATGCCCTGCTGCTGGGGTGGAGCTCAGGCAGCCTTCACTTCTGTTTATTCTCAGTATGAACTTGGGCCAGTTCACTAATTAGTTAAGAATCATAGTTTCTCAACAGCAAACTGGCACTAATGAGGCCTCATCTGTGGTTGTTGGAGAGGCAGCGGAAGGTACAGGCTTGAGGGTCCCTTATTCAAATGCTTTCAACTCAGAGTGTTTCAAACCGGAGATTCCTTCACACTGGATTCCTTGCACAGACTTCACTGTGTGGACACCCCTCACCTGAAAGTCTGAAGTCTGGAATCTGAAATTCTACAGAATTTCAAACTCAGTGAGGGTAGAACTCAAAGTGTTTCAGGCTTTGGAACGTTTGCATTTTTAGATTAGGGGTTCGCATCCCATGTCATGAGGTGGAGCATCAGCGACAAACAGCAGAGGCTCCTGAGTTTGAGACCATCTAAAGAAAACAAAACAAAACAAAACAAAACACCCTGCCGTTCTGAACACTTGCCACATGCTAGATATTTTGGTAAAGTTCTTTTCACTGGCCCCTCACTTAGCCCAACATATTCTGGACATGAACTCCCCCTTTTTAGCTGAAAATAATTTTTTCATACAATATATTCTGATCACAGTTTCCCCTCTCTCATCTCCCAGATCCTTCCCACCTTCCTACCCACCCCAAACCATTTCTTCCTCTCTTTAGAAAAAAACAGGTAAACAAACAAAAATCCCTCAAACAAGATTAAGAAAACAAACAACAGCAACAAAAAAGAAAAAGCACAAGAAACATATTTATACAGATACACATATACACAAAAACAAAATTGGAAACCAAAGCATACAGGCAAAATACAAGTGCCCAAAACAATGTAATATGAGGCAGAAAATCGATAGAAATACCCTTGAATTTGTTTTGTGTTTGACATCTATTTCTGTATATGGGGCCTACCCTTAAGTGTGCTTTACAATCCCACGCAGTGAGACTGCCTTGGAGAAAAGTAATTTTCCCTTTGCAAATGGTTGCCAGCTGGAGTTAGCTGCTTGGTTAGGAATGGGATATGGTGTCCATTTCTCCCTCTCAGCACTGGGACCCCATCTGACTTGGACCCTGTATATGATAGCATGGTCTCTGTGAGATCACATGTCTGTTAGACCTGCTATATCTGAAAGGCATTGTTTCCTTGGTGTCTTCCATCCCCACTGGCTCTTACAATCTTTCTGCCTCCTTGTCCACAAATTTCCCCGAGCCTTGAAGGGGGAGATTTGATAGAGATGTCCTATTTAGGACCGGTGTTCCAAGGTGTCAGGGATGTGTCATATCTCATGGAATGGGCCTGAAATCCAATCAGATAGTGGTTGGTGACTCACACAACTTCTGTACCTCTATGCACCGGCATATCATTTAGCGCTTCCTCTGTGCTTCTTCCCGTGTGAGCCGTCTCTCTCCTCCTGCTATGTGATACCCGATATCAGATTCAGGTCATCAGGATTGGAAGGAGATGCTTCTGCCTAACTGAGCCATCCTGAAAACCCCCAAACAGACTTTTGACAACAACTTGGAATTCTGTAATATTAGTTGGAAGTTTTAGCGTCTCCAAGACTCATCAACTATCCCTCCCAGGGGAGGGCAGCCCACTTGATTCTTCGTGGAATCCACCCAGGAGTCTGTCTTCTCTTAAACTCTCCAGCCACCCTGCTAAACAGGCACTTATCGTTGAAGCTTCACAAATGGGAAAGCAGGACTTAGAAAACTCAATACTTGGTCTGAATTTACTCAGACAGACACAGGCAGGAGCAGGTATTGAGCCTGATTTGGAACCCATGTCCAGGTTCACTGTTTTTTTTTTTTTGCGCCTCAATTGGAGTGGCCAGGGAATGTGTAGATGAGGTGGATGTGTGGTTTGAATAGGAATGGTCCCCCATAGGCTCTTGTGTCTCCCTGCATGGTCATCAGGGAGTGGCAGTGGTACTTGAAAGGGATTGGGAGGTGTGTCCTTTTTGGAGGAAGCATGCCACTGAGGGTGGGCATTGGGTTTCAAAAGCTCAAGCCAGGCCTAGTGTCTCTCTTTTCCTGCTGCCTGTAGATTTATATGTGGAACCCTCAAGCTACATTTTCAGTCCCAAGTTTGCTTGCATGCTGCCATGCTTCCCACTGTGAAGACAATAGACTGAAGCCTTGAAACTGTGAGCCAGTCCCGATTAAACGCCTTCCTTTATAAAGGTGTCTGGCCATAGTGTTTCTTCAATAAGACAGTGAGGTACGGGCACTTTGATCCTCCAATCCATTGAGATATTGTCTTGACCATTGGAGAGCCAAGGGGCAGTCTGGTGGGATGTTTCATGATGGTCAACATGAAGAGTATGTCTAGAACTTCAGTCATCAGGAAACAGGTATGTATTAGGACTGCTTGCTAAAACTGTAAAGGAGATGAAGGGATTGTATGTGTGGACAAGTTTATGTCTCTGTTTTTTGTGTGTGGTGTTTTTTTCAGTATTCAAGAGTTAAATATTTACACTTTGAATTCATTGAAAGATGAATGTCTCTTCACTTTCAATAGAACATGCTTTCTTACTAAAGTGTGGCTCACACCTTTCCTCCTTTTCTTTGCCCTGCAGGAGTGGGAAGATAAATTGAGCTGTGTAGAAATGCCTTCTAACGTGGTCCCTGTCTCCTCACCCCATTCATGAGCTGACCTCCTAACAAGAAGAAAGAGATGTATTTTAACTCAAGGGATTGTTTCTATCTCTGTGACCAATCTGCCTCCTCTCCTTCACAGAGTTTTCCATTTCAAAAGCCCATTTGAGGCAAAGCCTGCTGTTACCATCAGCAAAGCTCTGGACAGTGGCACCATGGGGGAGAGATCATTCTCTTTGTCTTACCTGAAACTATTGCTTTTACCCAGTGTCCATCTCTTCCCATCTGGATCCCTCTGTGAAGTGTGGTTCTTTTATGGGATATCCAACTAGGAGCAGAGTCTTACAAGCTGCAAGGACTGCTGTGACGTTTGGGGACTTCAGTTTCATTCTCATCTTCTCTGTGCTTCCCAGTTGCACAAGGAAGATTTTTTTCTTCATTTTTTTGTGAGTTGTCACACCCTTTCTCTATTCTTGATTGATTTATGGAGGTTTGCAGGGAAGCTTAATTGTCTATTTTCTTAGTACCACAGGAGTGTCTCCTTGAGGCAAGTTGATATGCTTACAAGAGGTGAAGAATTGGTGAGAAATGGCTGGTCTATGCTACAGAAGAAGAACTCGTGCTACAGAGTCAGAACCAAGCTAGCCATCTGGGGCTTTGCAGTTCAAGGTGGCTCTTTTGTCCTCAGGAGACCACAAGAGTCAGAGAAATACCACTTTCACAATCCCTGCCTTTCTCAACAACACTCAAACCATTCCTTGTTAGAGTTCTCTCTTGTGTAGCAAACATTTCCAAAACTGGCATCATAAGCTTCAAGGAGGATCATCCTCAACTCAGTGGGGGAAAGACAACATTATCAACAAGCAGGGGAGCTATGAATACTCTCCCTAGCTCAATACATAAACCTGATTGTAAAAAGCTGTGAGGAAATAACTTTGAAATGATACAAGACCTGAAGAATGTTCCAGGTGACCCAATCTATCCTGACACTCAACATTTCCAGTACTTCCGGCATTCCTATGGTCTCCTTCCTACCCCATTCTCCTCCACATAGCCACCCCACAAGACCAGGTGAGAAACTCTTGAAGGAGGCCTTTATAATCCCCTGCTCAGCTCCTATCATTGCACCAGCTCGTATACACCCTTACGTATTGCTTTGTAATATTTGAAACTATCTCATAAGTAGGATCTGATTTTTATCCTTCTTGATATTTTCCTTGAAAATGATATTTTACCCGTGGGTGTCTTTGTCTAACCTTTTTTCAAGGTATCTAATCATTCACTGTGGGGCAACATCACTACTTCATTCTCATGTTGTCAGATACTTGAGTTGTTCATGATATATTTGAAATTCATTACAGGAATTCTCCTCACCCCAACAGGTTAGACATTCAGACCCCACCCTACTCCAAAGGCATCCAGGAACCACAAAGACTTTTTAGGTCTAAGGGACTGTGGCTACTCAGATTGGCTACCCTTAATCTCAGGGTTACACAGTGATGCTGTTCAGAGGTCTTCACTTGTCTCCTTGTATCCACATTCCGTGACATAGTGGCATCAGCAGAAGACAAGCTGAGTCTGAGCATATGAACTGAGGAGCAGTGATCCCCAGTCTGCACTGTTGATCCCACGCAAGGCCACCTTCACTGACAATGTTGCAGCAATAAAACACAAGACAGACTCTGTCTGCATCCCAGCAACTTTGAGAACCCTAGTCTAGATATTTATCAGCCACCAACCCAAGCTGTGAACAAGCAGTGAGAGGCAGTAATGGACAGACTATGTCCTTGATTTGTGTGTGGAAGTCTCAATCACCAGAACCTTAAAATGTGACTATATTTGAAGACAGTCTCCTTAAAAAAACAGCTGGGTTTCATGTTGTCCCTTAAGAGTATCTGTGTAAGAAGAAATTAAGATAGATATAGTGCAGAGGGAAGATATTGTGGAGACACATGGAGATGGCTCCAAGTCAAAAGGGACGCACTCACACACATTGATCTCAAGCTTTCAGCCTTCCGAACCGCCAGGAATAAAGTTCTCTTGAAGCCACTCAGTCTGTGGAAGTTTGGTAAAGCAGCTTCAGCAGACACGTGCAGAAGTGCGAGGGCTGGAAGGAAGAGATAAAGCTAACATGCCAGTGCCAGGGTCAACCACAGAGAAAGCCAAGCATACCAGTAAACCCTCTGCAAGCATTAACAAGATGTTTCTGCATGATGGTCAGACACAAAAGCAATTATGGAAGCCTTTGCGTGTCTCCCTGTCAGTAGATGCCAATCATGAAACATAATAAAAACATAACACAGTGTTCACAGGAATCAATTCGTCAAGGAGCCCTTTGGGGAAGAAAAATTAAATTCAATTAAACAGCATAAAGGGAAGACGTGAATAAACAGGGAGATATTCCTTGTTCATGATGGGATATCGTAACATTGTAAAAATGTCAAATCCCATCAGATTAATTTACAAATCTGGTGAAACTGAATGTGAGTTCCAGATGAATGGGTTGAGAAGCTTGATAGACTTGTTCTGAGGTGAATAAATATGTATTTATTCATATAAATATGATTCATAAGTGTCTGGGTCTTTCCCTTGAGGTAGGGTTTCACTACATAGCTTTGTCTGGTGTGGAACTCACTATGTAGACCAGAGTAGTCTATATAATGGAGACCAACTTGCCTCTACCTACCAAGTGCTGGGATTAGGGACATATGCTGGTGGGTCAAGTTTTTAAAGGAGAAAGGATTCATCTCATTTTCAGTAGGGGGGAACAAAAGGGTGCTTTATTGCTGAGGAGAGTGACTGATGTAGAAGGCTTTACAGGGAAGGTAGCAGTTGCCAGATCGCTGAAATTACATCTGAAATGGGATAGTGAGAAGAAAATGTTTTAACCATAAAATTTAAAAACTAGACACATTTATCTGGGACTGCGCTCTGTAACAGAGGTAACCAGCCAAGACTTAAAGGCATAGAAGGTGTCGATACATTCAGATGGAAAGTTGTTTTAGACACCCTCTTCTCCATCTTGTTCTATAAACATGGTCACTTGAAATAACGATCTATAGAAAACTTCAAAGTGGTCACAAGGTGCCTTTAATCCCTGCACTCAGGAGACAGGTGGATCTCTGTGAGTTACAGACCAACCTAGTCTACAGAGAAGGTTCTAGAATAGGCTACAAAGCTATGCAGAGAAACCCTGTCTTGAAAATTCAAGAAAGAAAAAAAAGAAAATTTGGAAATGTGAGAATTGCTTGGATTTCTTATGGAAACTAGTGTAGAGATGGGATTGGGTGTTCAGGACATGATGTAAAGGAGAACACCTTCCCAGATTGTTGTGAGAAACCGCAGGGAGGGTTTCAGGGAGGCTCAGGATGGCATGGGAATGTCTATTAGATATGGCGTGGGGGTGAAGTTTCAGCAGATACATAGTTTGTACTAGAGAGATGAACTGATGAATGCTGGATGTATTTGGGGCACTGGGTAGATCTTATACACTGCTGGTGTTTCCTGATCAAGGAAGGGCGGGAGGTGGGACCAGCCTCCTGGGAGCAGGGCTGGTAGGAAAAAGATGGGAGGAGAAACAATTGCTGGTAGGAAACATTGGCTGAGGTCCCACAGGGAACCAAGACCCTGAGCATTGTTCATAGTGAGACACTGGGAGTTTTTAGTCTCTGTGTGGGATAGTATGCTTCAGGAGAAAAATAAAAGACCCAGTTAGCATAACTTTTGGAGGAATTATTTATGGTATTCTGAATGGAATCACTTAGCAACTCCATCTCAAGTTTGAATATTTCACACTTGTTTTAGTTCACTTTCTGTTGTTGTGATAAGCATCAACTGGGGAGAAAAGGGCTTGCATGCTGCAGGCACACATCCAGGGTAGTTGGGGCAGAAACTCAAGCATACACTGAAGCAGAAATCATAGAGGGCTGTTGCCTCCAAGATGTAGGACTCACAGTACTTCTCCAGCACGGTGTCCCACCGTGACGATAATGGACTGAACTTCTGAAGCTGTCATTTGCACTCTGGTATCTCCTGGCCTGGGGACTGCAGCCAGGTCGACTCGCCCTAGTTTAGCAAGGAACCATGAGTCAGCACTGAGCTAATCCAGCTCCCACCTGCCAAGGGAGGGAGTGCCTCAGACCCGCCTGCACCCACTGTGAGATCCATCAGAGTACTGGACCTGCTTGCACCCACCAAAAGAGAACCGTGGACCATACCCACCAGGAGAGGAAGAGACCCCACCTGTACCCACTGAAAGAAGGGATGGGAAGACGAAAACAGTAAGAAGACATTCAGTGACAGCAAAACCAATATGATGCCACCAGACTCTAGGGACTCTACACCAGCGACCTGAACATCCCAACACAGATGAAGCAGAAGAGAACTATCTTAAAAACAATTTCATGAAGATAATAGAGACCCTAAAATAGGAATTGAGAAAATCCTTTAAAGAAATGGAAGAAAGACAACCCAAAAATTGCAAGAAACAATTCAAACAGTGCAAGGTTTGAAAGCTGAAATAGAGGCAATAAAAATACAGTCTGAAGGAATGCTGGAATTAGAAAAGGTGGGTAAATGATCAGGAATTACAGATGCAAGCATAAACAATGGAATACAAGAGACGGAAGAGAGAATCTCCGGCATTGAAGACACACTAGCAGAAATAGATTCATCGACCAAAGAAAATCTTTTTTCTTTTTAAACAACAGGGTTGTGGTTATTTTTTTCATTTACATTAGAAACAAGGTTGCTTCATGTGTCAATCTCAGGACCCTCTCCCTTTCCCTCCCCTCCTCCCACGACCTCTCACAAAACCCCCCATACCCCCTCATTTCCCCAGGGAGGGTGAGGCCCTCCATGGGGGTGTCCATAGTCTGTCATTTTATCCAGGGCAAGGCATAGACCCTCCCCCAAGAGTCCAGGGTGAGAGTGCATCTCTCATTGTGGGATGGGCACCCAAAATCCATTTGTATGTCAGGGATAAATACTGATCTACTACCCAAGGCCCCCATAGATTGCCTAGGCCTCCTCACTGAAACCCACATTCAGGGGTCTTGATCAGTCCTATGCTGGATTCCCAGGCATCAGTCTGGGATTCAAGAGCTACCCATTGTTCAGGTCAGCTGTTTCTGGGGGTTAAACCAGCCCAGTCTTAACCCCTTTGCTCATCATTCCTCTCTCTCTGTCACTGGGTTCCTTGAGTTCAGTTCAGTGTTTAGCTGTGGGAATCTGCCTCTGCTACCAACAGTCATTGGTTGAAGGTTCTGTTTCCCAGATTCTCTGGCCATGGGATTGTAGGGTGGCACTCCCCTGATCCATGGCTAAAATTCATATATGAGAGAGTACATACCATGTTTGTCTTTTTGTGACTGGGTTACCTCACTCAGGATGGTTGCTTCTAGTGCCATCCATTTGCCTGCAAATTTCAAGATTCCATTGTTTTATTCTGCTGAATAGTACTCCATTGTGTAAATGTACCACATTTTCTCTATCCATTCTTCAGTTGAGGGGCATCTAGGTTGCTTCCAAGTTCTGGCTATTACAAATAATGCTGCTATGAACATAGTGGAACAGATATCCTTGTTGTATGAATGTGCATCTTTTGGATATATACCTAAGAGTGGAGTTGCTGGGTCTTGTGGTGGGCTGATTCTCATTCTTCTCAGGAATCTCCATACTGATTTCCAAAGTGGCTGTACAAGTTAGCATTTCCACCAGCAGTGGAGGAATGTTCCCCTTTCTCCATATCTTCTCCAGCATAAACTGCCATTGGTGTTTTGATTTTAGCCATTCTGACAGGAGTAAGATGGTGTCTCAGAGTTGTTTTGATTTGCATTTCCTGGATGGCTGGGGATGTTGAGCACTTTCTCAAGTGCCTCTCAGCCATTTTAGACTCCTCTATTGAGAATTCTCTATGTAGTTCTGTAGCCCACTTTTTAATTGGATCATTTGGTGTTTTGGAGTCTTGCTTCTTGAGTTCTTTGTAAATTTTAGAGATCAGCCTTCTGTCAGATGTGGGGTTAGTGAATATTTTTTCCCATTCTGTGGGCTGCCTTTTTTGTCTTGTTGACTGTGTCCTTTGCCTTACAGAAGCTTCTCAATTTCAGCAGGTCCCATGTATTAATTGTTGACCTCAGTGTCTATGCTACTGGTGTTATGTTCAGGAAGTTGTCTCCTGTGCTAATTTGTTCAAGGGTACCACCCACTTTCTCTTCTAAGAGGTTCAGTGTAGCTGGATTTATGTTGAGGTGTTTGATCCATTTGGACTTAAGTTTTTTGCATGGCAATAGACATGGATCTATCTGCATCCTTCTACATGCCAGCATCCAGTTATGCCAGTACCATTTGTTGAAGATACTTTCTTTTTTCCATATCTACTAATCCAGTCCTACAGAAGGTACTGGAACAAAAACTCCAACCTTAGGTAGTTAACTACACTCAAAAAAACATAGACAATAGATAATCCCACTTTATCAAAAGCCAAAAGAAAATCCAGGTTAAATCCACAAACAATAACATCACCAGTAGCAAATCAAAAACAAACAAGAATTAACACTTAATTTCCCTCAATATTAATGGTACTAATTTGCCTATAAAAAGACACAGGCTAACAGAATGGATATGAAGACAGAATCCATCCTTCTGCTGCATACAAGAAACATACCGCAGCTTCAAAGACAGACATTACTTCAGAGATAAGGGTTGGGGAAAGATTTTCCAATCAAATGGACCCAAGAATAAGCTGGTGTAGCTATCCTGGTATCGAACAAATTAGACCTCAAACTAAGATCAATCAAAGAGATGAAGAAGGTCATTTCATATTCATCACAGGAGAAATCCACCAAGATGAAGTCTCAATTCTGAACATGTATGCCACAAATACAATGACACCTATGTTCATAGAAGAAACATTGCTAAAACTCAAATCACATATAAAACCTCACACAGTTATGGTGGGAGACTTCAACAACTCACTGTCACCACTAGACAGGACTGCCAGACAGAACTTAAAGAAACAAAAGAACTAACAGAAGTTATGACCCAATTGGGTTTGACAGATGTCTACAGAACATTCCATCCAAGCACAATAAATATACCTTATTCTTAGCGCCACATGGGACCTTCTCTATAATCAACCACATACTTGGCAACATAGCAAACCTCAACAGGTACAAAAATTGGAATAATATTTTATCAGACCATCATTCTTTAAAGTTAGAATTCAACAACAACACAAGTTGCAGAAACCCTACAAACTCATGGAAACTGAACAACACACAATTGCACCATTGAAGAAATAAAGAAATAAATTAAAGACTTCCTAGAATTCAATGAGAATGAAGATACAACATACCCAAACTTGTGGCACACTTTGAAAGCAGTACTAAGAGGAAATTTCGTAGTACTAATTGGTCACACGAAGAAACTGGAGAATAGTCACACTAGAGAATTAATAGCACAACTGAAAGCTCTAGAACAAAAAGAAGCAAACTCACCCACGAGGAGTAGACACCAGAAAATAATCAAACAGGGCTGAAATCAATAAAGTAGAAACTAGGA